TTACTATAGTGCAGATAAAGGCCTCATTTCTGAGAATTATAAGTGAAAGATGAGAGAATTGGAGAGCGTGGGAAGAATAGAACCAATAATCGAATATAAGTGCAAGCCTCATTCTGCACAGCATCACTAAAATACACTTCAATCCATTCTCACCGCCGTTTCACTCGAAGATAATATCAATCGATAGATCTTGGAATACGGTGTGAGTGTGAGTGTGGGTTGTGGGTGTGCGTGTTGATGGTGGTGTGGCTGTGAACGAAGAGAACGCAAACAGTCACCCACACCCCACACCCACGCCCACCCTCTCAGTTCGATCGAAGAACTTTGTGTAAAAGTGTCCGAACTCCCATAGAACTAACCATATACGTTTTTTAGTGCTTCATTGTTTCACTCAGCTAGGAAAGTTACAAAAGTAAGTGAATCATTTTTCATGTTTTGTTTTATCTGAAAGACTTGTAACTGTTGTTAAATCTTCAATAACAGATAAACTCATCACTGGTTTATGAATATGGTCTAGTGTTGAATCAATACCATAAAATCCTCCCAACACATAACAAGGCTTTTTTAAACCAGTAGAATAATTTTCAACTTCAGCTGGTACACGTATTGAATCTAAGTGAATATCCGAAAATAGAATTGTATTTGAATTTTTCCCATTAATATAAAAAAATAGTTTTAATATCCAACCAGTAATATATTCAGTGCTACCTGAACCTAATCGTCCATGCTTTAAATCTACTATACGATTCCAAAAATCAACATCAACTTTTTCTTGATAGGTTTGGATAAATTCATTTAATATGGGCAATAAATCTTCAATATATCGATAAAAGTCATCATTTTTAATTGTATAAATCATTAATTGTTCTGTTTTTTGTTTTAGTAACTCCTAAGCAAAGAGAGTACCCATACAATGAACATTTCGTATACCACAACCAGGAATACATCGACCATATTGAAAATACGATTGAAATGTATCCATAATGCATGCATAGGATAATGTGAGTTCAATTTCAGTTGTTGAAAAGTTGTTTATCAAACTATCAACTATCTGAGGACTTTTACATTTTTTTGATATTTCTCTTTGCATCATATCAAAAAATTGTGTTCAATCTTCTTCACGCTTTCCCATAAGTTCTATAATGACAAGCTTTTTCTTGTCTTGATAATCAACAAATATATATCGAAGTTGTTCAGACTTTGAATTAACATATTTCGAAAAATTTATTGTAATTATCAAGCAAAGATCATCTGGTGATAATAGAATATCCTCATGTCGATTATAAGCAAGTAAAAATGCTTGTAATACAGCATTTTGCGAATAGCTACTGGCTGGACCATTTGTCAGTGTATATTGAATTTTATAATGCTTTGCAGATTTTGAATCGTGACCATTGTTCGTCTTATTCAACCAGATGTTATCGTAAGGCAATGGAGAATCTTTTCGATAAGAATTCTTTTCTGATTGAAGGCTATGTATTCTTATTGTTTTTAGCATTTTCAGTGTTTTTAACTAAGTTGTGGCAGATTCAAAATGTCGACAATAAGTAATACACAAAAGCAAGGAAGAAGAAATTGCAACACAATTAGAAAAGACAACCATTTGTTTTTAGAAAGATACAACAAATGATTCACGTCAAGGAGAGAATGATTGTCAAAAGTCCAACGAGATGACGAATGATAAGAAACAAAAGTGAAAATTTTGTGAATTTTAGTTTCCCTATTCTAAGATAATAACTGTATTTCACTCTCGATAATCGGCCATAAAATGCGACTGTTTTCTTCAAAGAAATTTTCGATTCACCATGTTGGCCTACTTATGCACATGGTCATTTTGAAAAACTTTGGTTCCAGATGTCGCACTCCTACTGATATCATGAGGAAGACAGTGATTTGTGCAAATATGGGGTGTGGGTGTGGTTGTGTGTGTAGGTGTGAGTGTGGGTGTGAGTGTAGGTGTGGTGTGGGTGTGGATGGGTGTGTAGGCGTGGTGGGCGTGTGAGTGTCTTTCTTTCCCTGGCATCCACACCCATATGCAACTGTGAAGTGTAATACAAAGCGATTTAAACGCCTATTAACGAGATATCACATACAAAACGTGTTATCTTGTCTGAAAAAATTATTTCAAGGTCTGGGACCAAATCTTTAGTATTTGGTTCAAATTTCATCCGAAATCCTACAGTCATTTTCTGCTCCTGGCTCACACTTAGTGAACTATACTGTTGTTACTAAGGGTGTGAGTACGGCTTTATCTTCAACTACGCTCATCCACATTTCCTCACACAGTAGTCAATTTTTGCATTGCCGGTGGACACATAACTTTTTTCTTGGAAACTGATTTTTACTAGTCAGAACGAGTTATATTTCATTTGGAAAATAATCTTTAAATAAACAAACACTTTTTTGAAAAACAAATTTGCGTAAACTACCTGTGAAGTACAGTGCAGTGTTTGAGGATGTGGATGCGGATGTGGGTGTGGGTGTGGATGTGCGGTGTGGGTGTGGATGTACGGTGTGAGTGTAGATGCGATGGAAAGAAAGACACCCACACGCACACCACACCTATACACACACCCATACCCGTATCCACAGCCATAGCCACAGCCACAGCCACAGCCCACACCCATACCCAGATCCATCCACATCCACACCCACACTCACATACACCCCACACTCACACCCCACCCACACCCCACACCCACACCCACACCCACACCCACACACACCACTCACACCCACACCCACCCACGATATATATTCTTTGGATAATTAGGATTAAATTGTTGGAGATTTCCTGGAAACAGAATCAGATGGCAAAGGAAACAAAATAAATCCTGTCATGATGTCATGAAAGTAAGAAAGATAATCCTAAAAATCTATTGTTGACAGCATACAAAATTGGTCGACTACGAGAAAGAAAAAAACTGATCTGTTTGTTTACATTAGTTTTTTTACCTATTTTTGTCTTTCATTCTATCGAATACTCTATACGCCAACTCAACGACCATCGTACATTTTTCCAGCTGCATATTTCCTATGAGTAATCATGACTCTTCCCCGAAATTTCATAAGACGACACGTTGATGACGCTTCATTCGATATTGTTCTGTTCCCCTGTAGAATGTTCTTGTTTCTTCTATCATCCTCTTTTTCTTCCGTTCTGTTGTTTGGTAATGTTTGCTCACAACAAGTTTTGAGTCAGGTATATAAGGAATACCATTTCAGTCACTTTCTATTGTAATTCTTCATTTTCTACCAATATTCATCGCATTTCAACAGCAACTACAAATACAAATGGCACGAGCTATTGGTATCGATTTAGGCACCACATATTCATGTGTCGGCGTCTTTCAGCATGGTAAAGTCGAAATCATTGCTAATGATCAAGGTAATCGAACAACACCGTCTTATGTTGCATTCACCGATAGTGAACGTCTTATTGGCGATCCCGCAAAGAGTCAAGTGGCTATGAACCCTACTAATACGGTGTTCGATGCAAAACGACTTATAGGTCGCAAATTTGACGATGCAACAGTTCAATCCGATATGAAACATTGGCCTTTCAAAATCATCAACGATAGCGGCAAACCAAAGATTCAAGTTGATTATAAAAGTGAAACAAAAACATTTACACCAGAAGAAATCTCATCGATGGTCCTGACTAAAATGAAAGAAGTTGCTGAAGCCTATCTCGGCAAAAACGTTTCTGAAGCTGTCGTCACTGTTCCAGCTTACTTCAATGATGCACAACGACAAGCAACGAAAGATGCCGGTGTCATTGCCGGTCTCAATGTGCTGCGAATCATCAACGAGCCTACGGCGGCTGCTATTGCCTATGGCTTAGACAAACAAACAGCAGGTGAAAAAAACATTCTTATTTTCGATTTGGGTGGTGGCACTTTCGATGTGTCTGTACTCAAGATCGAAGAAGGCATTTTCGAAGTCAAATCGACGGCTGGAGATACACATTTGGGTGGCCAAGATTTTGACAATCGAATGGTAACACATTTCGTTCAAGACTTCAAACGCAAGAACAACAAAGATCTGTCACAAAATAAACGTGCTCTTCGTCGACTGAGCACAGCTTGTGAACGTGCAAAACGCACACTCTCAGCAGCAGCACAAGCAACGATCGAAATTGATTCACTCCATGAAGGTATTGATTTCAATGCGACGATCACTCGTGCTCGTTTCGAAGAGCTCAATGCCGATCTTTTCCGATCGACACTCGAACCAGTCGAAAAAGCTTTGCGTGATGCTAAAATGGACAAATCAAACATTCATGAAATTGTTCTTGTTGGTGGCTCGAGTCGTATTCCCAAAGTACAAAAATTACTTCAAGACTTCTTCAATGGAAAAGAGTTGAACAAAGCCATCAATCCAGATGAAGCTGTTGCGTACGGTGCTGCCGTTCAAGCGGCTATTCTTACCGGTGATAAATCAGAAGAAGTCAAATCTGTGCTCTTGATTGATGTAGCACCACTCTCATTGGGTATTGAAACTGCTGGTGGTGTCATGACTCCGATAATCAGACGTAGTACGACTATTCCAACGAAGCAAACTCAAACATTTACTACGTATTCAGATAATCAACCTGGTGTTGATATCAAAGTATATGAAGGTGAACGAGCGATGACGAAAGACAACCATCTCCTAGGAAACTTTGAACTTTCTGGCATTCCACCTGCACCGCGTGGTGTTCCACAAATCGAAGTCACTTTCGATATTGATGCTAATGGTATTCTCAATGTATCGGCTGCAGACAAATCGACAGGTCAAAGAAACACAATTAAAATTACAAACGACAAAGGTCGTTTGTCACAAGATGAAATCAACCGAATGGTTTCCGATGCAAAGAAGTACGAGAAAGAAGATGAAGCACAACGTGATCGTATTTCAGCTAAGAATTCACTTGAATCCTATTGCTTCAATATGAAGGCAACTTTGAATGATGATAAAGTAAGTGCGAAGATCTCATCCGACGACAAGTCAACAATAACTGAAACAATCAACACGACAGTCAAATGGATGGAATCTAATAATTTGGCCGACAAAGAAGAATTCGAACACAAATTAAAAGAGGTCGAAAAAGTGTGCTCTCCAATTATTTCCAAACTTTACGGTAGTGAAGCACATGGGCATGATGCTGGATCTAAATCAAGTGGCAACAAGGGACCCACCATTGAAGAAGTCGATTAAATGCCGTAGAGTCGATCGTTCACCAACAAGCAGATATATACAAAGGCTTCGCGTCAGATGCATCTGCACACTAATGATAGTGAAAAAACTATTTTCAATGCCATCTATGTAATCTGCTTCTCTTTTCTTTTTTGTTTTTTTAGTGTACGTCTTATTTTTCCTTTTAATAATAAATCTTCATCGCTGATTCATTCTTTTGTAGTGAACGCTCTCGTACAGCAGCAAGAAATGATGCACAATTGGCAAGTAGACTATACGCAAACAGATGCACATACACAACCTGGTCTACTCGACCAGTCATTGTCATATGAGGATTTTTGCATGACATACATGTATACGAGGTACTTGACCATCGCACCGTCCGGCCCCGAGTTGGAAGAAGACCAATAGTCGATTCACGATGTTGACCAATAACACACTGTTTCTGAGAATCTTCCTCCAATCAATCGAGCAATTTGCGTGTCAGTTTTCATTTACATTATCTTACGAAAATACAAGTCGCATTGAGTGTGTAATAATTTTAATGAATCGAGTTACGCATACTAAACACAATTCGCACCCAAATAGGTAATTTTGAGTATTCGAACTCGTACAAAAAGAATACCTAGTGTGCAACTTGCATAGTGGCTACCGAACGAGTTTTGAGCGGTCTTATTTCACTAGTATGCAACTCTATATGTTGACATGCAACGGGTGATCGAAAATTACTTTGACCAAATTTTGAAGGCTGCAAAATATTTGCAAAAGCCATAGGAATACGCTTCTTTTGATGTGTCTGGTATACGACAATTAGTCACAGGGTAGAATCGGTTGCAATGTTGGAAAATAAGATTGACAAAATGTATTATTAGTATCACAAATATATAAAACAGAAAAATCCAGAAAGTAACTAACAGCCTATTCAACGGCAACGGCATCAAATATGAGTACAAATAGGAAGGCTTAGTAAGATGTTACATTTGTATACAAAATGTTGCACCAGATCAAGTAGTAGCTCCTTTAAATTTGTTGTATAATCCACACAATTTTTTCTTATTCTGAGGATTCTATCCGCTACAGTTTTTTCTATTTCATAATGGATATAGTTTTCGACTTTTCGTCACATTTCGATAAATTCAAAAGGTGAATGTAAACGTACAGTTATTGCTAATTTATATGATGATTTACTTGTCCATTCCATACGGCATATCTTCATTTCTTACATGCCACCCTTACCCTCATTATTCTTCAGTACCCAAGCAGACAAGAATTTAGAAAAACACGTTCAAGCGCACAAAAATGATGAAAAATCGAGAAAAGTGGACGTGTTTAGATGACAATCAGGGTTCCCGATTATGAGCGAAAAACGACCACTTTTTCTCTTTTTTTATGCATTTACATGTGTTTTTCGGCTGAAAACCCGATTAAACGTACAAGAAGAGCAAAAAAAGGGACTTTTCCGCTCACAATCGGGAATGTCAATTGTCATCCAAACATGCCCACTTTTCTTGGTCTGGTGTCTCTTTTTCGATGCTTAAATGCGTTTTTGTAAAACTTTGTCTGCTTGAGTGGCGAATGTTCTCACGTCAATGCTGGCGTCTATTCTGTCATTATCGTTGAAAAAGATTTTACAGGATTCAAAAATGTTTTCTCGGACTACTCATGAGAATAATCTTTCAAACAGGTAGGCGGACACATGCTAAGCATCATCCAAAATAAAAGTAAATGGTAAAATGAACGAAATAGAAACCAAGTAGACATCCCAGGTCGAATAAAAAGGTCCGTAAACGGCCTGAAATGGTATTAAAACGGTACGAAGCGTTAAAAAATGGCACCGTTCTCCGTCAGCTTGGAAAAGGAAGTGAATAGTGTTAAAAACGATGGCCTTTTTCTAGCAGAAAAAAAACGGCCCATAAAACGAACTGATGGATTAGGCCGAAATAGGGTGAAAATTAATGCAGGTTTATGTCGTTTTATAGCCGTTTCAGGCTGTTTCAAATGGCCTTTCAGACGGCCGGAATGATCCTCCTGGTATGAAGGTAAATATTGTATAGATAAAATAGATAACAAAAACCAGCTTCGATGAGGAACGTAAAATGAAGATGCGGTAAAAAAATGATATGTTGAATGTTCGTATTTTTTATACGAATATGCATTGAATTGACGCATGCTTCTGCTCGTGATTTGCGACCGATATTCATCCAATTGGCATTACAATAAACAGAATTCGTCTAATATCCGGCATGGTGCGGCAAAGTTTATCCACACTTTACCCTCGTGACACAAAGATATTTTTTTGCCACTTTCTAACGGAAATCGCCTTGTGTAGTAAAGTGTCTACAGGCGAATGAACTCGGTGAAAATAATTGGTTCTGATCTCAAATGAAAGGTCTCGTTTAATTGCAACTATTCTAATAAAAGAAAACTTCGTTGAAAAAGGGTGTGGGTGTGGGTGCGGATGTGGGTGTGGGTGTGGATGTGGGTGTGAGTGTGGGTGTGAATGTGGGTGCAGGGTGTGTGTTGTGGATGTGGGTGTGTGAATGTGAGTATTAGTGGGAAGAGAACCCACACCCTACACCCACACACCCACACCCTTAATTTAGGAAAATGAAATGAACAAGAGAATAAAACTTTACGTGCTAATAAAACTGAAAAAGAATTCAATTATTTAGATAGTTGTAAAAGGATATCTATCTTAGTCAAAATTTATTGCATGTTTATACCTAATAGTTTACAAGGCTTTATAAGAAATTTTAATGATTTTATCAAAAAAAAATAGAAGCTTATGTCCCTTTAGGACCGTCAGGGTCATAGGGAAATATCTGCTTATAATAAAAAAAATAGAAGCTTATTTTAATGAAATCAAACAATATCAAAACGAAAAAAGATATATTCACGATAGTTCAAATATAATTAAAATGATCTCCAAGAAGCATTATATAGAAAAAGCATATTCTTGTTTGCCTTCTTATTTTTTTTGGAGGAAAACAATAGTTAAAGATTTGAAAAATGAACTCTCAAATAATTTTAAAGAGCTATCAGATTAAATGGATAAAGTAAAACATACACAGCATACGAAAGTATTAAACGTGAAACGATCGATTGAATAAGCATTAAGTAGATTAGATTAGTTTTTAGAATGTGAAAAATATTTGATGACCTGACAACTGAGCCTTTTCCTGTTAATCAATAAAGATACAATAGTAATATTTTATCAATTACGAGGGAACATTCTGAAGTGATTCGCTCGCTTTGCCTTCATATTATACCCATAGCTATGGAACATAGTCTTGGTAAAAACCCTAAAAGGGTTCATACCATTGTGCTTATCTTCTCGAGTTACGACGATTTAATGAATTTTCAGCCTATCACAGAGTATTATAGTAAAAATCTCCAATAAATTCCTGTTTGAAGATTTTCTCCATAATAAATCTCATAGTCCTTATTAGATCCTAAAACTTTCAGCTCAAAGCAATGGTTGCTTTCCGAAATAATGCATTTGAAACAAATACTACTTTCTGAGAAGACCTGCAAAACTAATTGATTTTTGAGATACCTCATATCTTAAGAAAAACTGATTCGTTTGAGCGAAAACTTTCAGGATATAATAAGGACTATAAGATCTATTATTGGGAAATTTTTTTAGAAGGAATTCCTTGCTGAGATTTTTTCCTTAATACTTTGTGACAGACTAAAAACTCAGTAAAATCGCCATAACTTGAGAAGAAAGACACAATAGCACGAATCCTTCTAGAGTTTTTACCTACACTATGACCCTCTACCAATGGGTATAATATGAAGGCAAACGGAGCGAATCACTTGAGAATGTTCCCTCATCAGTGAGTTGTTTGATACTTTTTCTGACCTATTTCATAGTGCACCCACGCTTTCGATTGAATTCTGTCGATATTGTTGTATTACACAAGAATTTTGTTTCGCTGATTCATTTTGCCAAAGTGGACGTCTATACAATGCGTCATAGAGAGCATCGGAAAAAAACCTTCTTTCCTCTGACAAAACGGGATTACTCAATAGCATGTGTTATCGATGAAATTTCATGACACAAAATGGTGACTGATAATGACAGTAGCTTGACATATATATATATATGCATTCGTTTAAAAACACATAAAAATATCGAGAATGTTTCCTGTCCCAGCACCTTCTAGAAGTGAACGGCTATGTTCGAATGACGTTCTCTCATGGAAATTTCCAATATCGATTGGTCCATATACCTTACTAGGTCGTTCAAGAGCAGCTGATGCGACGAGTTTCTATATTCCTGAATTGGACATGTTACTTGATTGTGGTTGTTTAGTAACAGCAGCTCGACCACTTTACGTATTTATTACACATGGACATTTAGATCATTGCCTTGATATTACACGATTATTGAGTAATCCTCGACCACCACAAGTTTTTCTTCCTATATCAGCTGTACAACCTATGAAAGATTTCATTGAAAAAAGTCACATTCTTCGAACAGCTGGTAGAATAGATATAGATCCGCAAAAACTGACACTCGATTGTGAATTAATCGGTGTTGAACATGATGATTTATTGTCATTTCGAAAAACAATGAAAGTTCGTGTATTTGATATGGATCATTCCGTGTCTTGTTGTGGTTATGGTTTTTATGAATGTCGGAAAAAATTAAAAAAAGAATATCAACATTTGACCAGTCAAGACATTGCCAACATGCGACGAGTCGATAATAATTTAGAACTTTCTGAAGATAGATTATTTCCATTATTTGCTTTCATGGGTGACACAACACCGATTATCTTTGATAGACATTCCGTTGAACTTCTCCAGTTTCCGTTGATTATTGTTGAATGTTCATTTATTGATAATGAACAACATGCAGAGCGAGCTTCTGATATTAAACATGTTATCTGGGTAAGAAAATTAATTGCAACAAAAAAAATATGTTTGTTATAAATTCTAGGATGATCTTCAACGATTTGTCTTACAACATCCAGAAATTATCTTTGTATTAATCCATTTTTCGCAACAATACAACAGTGAACAAATAAGAGACTTTTTTCGACAGTTAAATTTACCCAATGTTGTACCATTTATATAAAAAAGTTCGCCTTTCTTTGACATATCATTGTCAATTTTTTCAACAATCTACTTACTACAGAATCGTCCGATATTATCCGTATGCCTGACCACTAAGAAGCACATCGATTTTAGTTTCATCTTTTGAGTTTTATTTCGAGTTATCTGTAGAGGCGTAAGCCGACGTGCTGACTGGCGATGGCGCCATATATTTTTATTTAGCTTTTGATGCGCCCGCGGCGGCTGACTCAAATATTTAGGCTGCACGACGCCGACGGCTTCGGATCGTTCGTTGTTCAGCGGCGACAACTGGAAGGTTAAAAAGTACTATACTTTCGTGAGCAAGAACAGTCTGCCCATTTCAATATCTTGGGTGTGGGTATCGGTATGGTTATTGGTAAGGAAAAGGCCACGCCCACATCCACCGATACCTCACACCCAGCCACCCCCCCCCCACACACACTCTCACACCCACACCCTGGGAAATGTATTTTAAAAAAATTTGCTGGGAACTTGGGAGTAACTCTCCGAGAAAATCATTAGACATTACTCAGTTTTTTCTGCTCTTTTTAACGATGTAATTTTTATTGAGTGTGGGTGTGGGTGTGGGTGTGGGATGGCGTGGGAAGAAAAACAACCACATCCAACCCATACCCACACGCACCCACCTACACCCACAGCCACAGCCACATCCACCCACACCCACATCCCACCCAAATCAGCAAACATTTTATTAGTATTCATGAAAGATGAAGAACGTTTCTGAGTTAATCATTCTAATGTTTGCCTACAGATGTATTTTTCATAAAAATATCAAAAAGCAAGTGATTTATATGAAAAAAAGAGCTTTTTTAATACCGTTGATTGTATGATAGTACTTCTGAGTGAATTCATAGTTAGTTGGACAGTATTATTTTATCTGAGATATGAATATTTTTACGAAGAAATTTATAATGGAACTTGAAATGAGATTCTTTTTCTTAATCCTTCTTGGCCGATCTTTTCACATCGTGTATGAATTTTATGTGTTGTACAGAGATTTGAATCATTACAAACATATTCACAAATAGATCGAGCATTTTTCTAGAACAATGATATATTTGCATTCAGTTTTCTTGATAATTCATCATCTACTTGAATGGAAACATTTTATTTAATTGAAATTGATATTATCGACTTTCTCAAGCAGAACAAACGGCTTAATATTTTAATAATATTTCGTTTAATATCTGTTTTAATCAGTGGTCCTTTTATTTCTGTACAGAATGGTATATTTTATATTAATACAAAGCAATATCTATGATTTTCCGAGATACCTTGCAATGAACAGTTAAAGAAGAACAATGTTCCAATACAATTTTCTCTCAGTTTGCTTGTTGACTGTAAGATTTAGTTTTCGTATAGGTATTGCTCTCCATGTAAAATTTCACTAATGTAGATTATGTAAGAATTCACTTCAAATTACATATATAACTGTCCTTAAATCTGAACTTGTAGAGAACTGATGATCTACGGTGTTGGAACAGAAAAAGTTATTCTGATCTCACATTTGTATGACTCATAAAGATGGGATTTTGGATAACTATTTAATCAAATGATCAATGTGAGACCAATGATCAATTTCGACTAAGAAACACATGAGAGTACTTTCAATACATTCTGAGACTTTTTTTTGTAATACCAGAATATAAAAATGAGACTATGAAGAAAGTCTGAAGATTTCACCAAATCAATGTGGCAAATTTTACATTCATTGGTTAGATAACATCCTTCATCGTCAAGAACCATTGGTCATTGACTAGTTCAGATTTAAATACAATGAATGATATCATCTAGAGTGAATCCGTATATTTTCTCGATTGGGAAGAGTAACATCGATGTGGGTATATCAAATAGGTGTTCTCTTCACATGGACAGCCCACAGCTACAGTCATACCCTTCAATCTTCTCCTTATTAAACATGAACAGGCACAAAAGAAACTTGCTTACATCAAAAGAATTTTATTGTTTTATTTCAAGGGGGAAATAACTGACTTTTATGACTTCTACGACTTTAAAGTCATTTAGATCACTTAGATCATTTAGATCATTTAAATCGCGAAAGTCATTCAAAGTCATCAATAACTCAGTATATTTGAAAGAGGATGTTAGTAAATATTCATCTAGAATCTGTTCACATGCTAACATATCAATATACGCTTCGATCGTGATACAAAAACAATGATTTAACCAAAACACGCATGGAATATAACTATTGTCCATTTCAAAAACAAGGACTAGTGGGTATTTTTCGAATAACTTTTGACAGGAGCAAGGTAGTGAGTTGCGGTTTTCACCATCAGAAAGAGAAGATCCAGGAGTATCAACATTTGCTAAAATCCGATTGGTCAGCAATAAACGAATGGAATGCATTTTCGAGGGACATGATGAGAACGGTACCTTAGACCCATTTCGTAACTTGGCGCAATTGTTAATTTACATTTGTGGTAGAAAAATTGTCCTCTTTCGATCTATGCATGACAACCATTCTAGCTTGTTTGGTTCAAGAGATACAAGGATTTTTCTGAGACCACTGATTTCAGCCAATTAACTGTGAACNATCCAATATGTATCAGCTTTATCATCACTGATACAACTATTAGCATTCAGGCTTCAAATTGGGATAATGCAACTATACTGCAGGAAGTCTCTGTTTCTGTTCAGGAATATATTTGTCAATCATGTTGGATCCATGTAGCGTTCTCATTTGATCGTCAAACTGGATTGACTATTTTCTATTTCAATGGTATCGAAATCGAAAGAAAATATTTGAATTTGTTTCATGAAATCTTATCACGAGAGAACAAAGCAAAAATATCCTATATCGGATTAAATGCAGTGACGAAGGCGAAGCCCTTCTATGGTCTCATTGATAGTTTGTCTATCTTGTATGCAGTGAAAAATGCCAGTGTAATTCGTTTTGAAGCAACCGTACTTTGTCAATACAGGTTCAATAGCGACGATCTCAATGTTGGCTGGGGACCGAATAATATTCGAGCGCGCAGTCAACATGTCTATCGATCATGGTCGAACAATCAAAGTGTTCTTCTTTTCAATGATAGCGACTCATATTTTCAATCGACTGGGTTCACTCTAATGTACTCAAATACTTATGAATATTCGATAGCTTTCTGGCTTCGTTTAAAAATACAGAAACCCGAGAAAGGTAATAGCGCTATAGCTGTCTTACAGCTAACATCTTCGATCCCTGCACTATCATCAGACAGCTATACATGCGTCATGAGTATACATGTTTACCCGGATAATCAGACTTTGGGATATTTTTTCCCGGGCATCTTTGAATTACTCAATGTTAGTGGTTCATTCATAGGGAATAACACTTGGATTCATATTGGTATAGCATTCGAGAGTCCGCAAACATATTATTTTTATCAAAATGGCAAACTGGTTGCTACTGACATTAAGCGACGTTTCTCATCGGTCATCGCTGGTGATCCACGATTTTCTGCGACCGTAGGAGGGGCATACTTGGACGATTCTGATCCGAACAAGCCTGACAATTTTGAACAAATGAAATGTTTTGCTAGAATTCCAACTTTTAATTATACAAAGATGTATGGAGAAATTGATGATTTAACGTTTTACTCCAGAATCCTAAATTCATCTGAATTTTCAGCTTTGGCCTCGTCTCATGTTACAGACAGTTCGGTTTAAGAATCTTGACAGTTTACTTGAACTTGAAGTTTATCAGTAGCTAGAATATTCTCTAAATAATATATTTTGTTTGCAGTAATAATAAATGCGAGTTTTAATTCTAAATCAACATAGTTGATATTTCGAGTCTTGAGAGATTCATCTTCAGAAAAAAAAATGTTGTTATTGGTGTTGTTTGATCCTAACCACGACCATCACGATCACCTCGACGACCAAGTTCGATAGATCATCAGCTAATTGATTTACCATATATTAATAATAAGGGTGTGGATGCGGGTGTAGATGTATGTGTTAGTGTTTCATTGACGGAAACCAACCCACACCCATCCATCCACACTCACACATACCGACACCCTCGTATAGCAAATAAAGTTTGATAAATCATCAATGCCAAGTCAAAATGATTAACATATATTAAGATCTCCAATTTATGATGCTTCGTTCATGACTATTCATTATTCAATTACTTCTAAACAACCATGTATACTATTTAACGACCTACATGGAGATGAGAATATATTGGATATATTTAAACTTTTTAATGATCTTGGTGTGAGTTTATGTCCTACTTCTCTTTTGAGAGCAGAAAATTCAGTTGAGTCTAGGCATTCATTTCAATCAAACCCACAGACATCTTGGTTCGATTTGAATTCTTTTAAAATTCGATCGGTTCAGTTTGTGAAACATACAAACTGAGTTCATTACATGGCCTATATTGCTATCATCGTGAAAACAGTACTAAATAAAAAGCATAATACGATTCCACAAATTCACGCTCCTTATCTTACAATCATTGTGAATAGAACAATATGAAACTCAATCTTTTCATATGAATAGTTTTTATAAGTAGGTGTTTTCATTTTATTTTATTGAAATATTAAACAAATCTATTAATTACATTTATCGTGATATAACAAAGGAAAATAAAGATAAAAGTCTTTTGAACGAACTATTCCAAGTTTATTATAAAAATTAGTATGTTTCAATTTTGCACAATTCATACGTGTTGTATTTCTTGCAAAACTCTCTGTAACAGTTACTAAATGTTCATAATTAACATGAAGCTTGCTAAGAGAAAGTAAATGTGTATTCAAACTGGAAAGAAATTGTTCTATATAGTCAATATGTGCCCTAGTACAACTAAAACTAAGCTTGACGAGATGCGAATATTCAATTATCGAGGATGCTTCTTCAGGTTTCATTAGTTCTTGTGATCATGTCTCATTTTGTGGTACTATATTTTGCGATTCTCACACGGCTGAGTAATAAAAATGAACGCGAAATTTGAGCAAACAAGTCATGTTCGAA